TTCTTGGTAGCAGAAAGAAAACTTCCAAGTGCAGACAGGGTCATCAGGGAGATGTGGCACAAAGCATTCAAGGCCAGCTGCGCAACAGCTGTAAAACAACTGAAGGTAGCGGCCATTGCTGCTGCCCAAGGCCAGGTCCCTGAGGGCCCTAGACGTACTGCAGACGTGCTTGCCGTCAAGGAACCTCCTGCAGACGTGCTTGCCGTCGAGGGATGTGTTCCTGCATCTGACCCATCAAGCATTTGCGAGACGCAATTCTTGACCCGCTCTCCCACAGCTTTGAAGACGCTTGGTTTGGATCCCACCACATAGCGCTTGCTTGTGGACAATTGCTCATCTCTCTTTAAAGGGGCTGCAACTGGCCTTTGACCAAGAGGTCTAGGTGGAATGCTCTGCTGGGGGTCACTGGATACGGCTTCATGCATCTCAAAGGAACTACGCTGCAGACAACTGATGGAGAGCTCTTGCTATAGAGGACATTGTTGCCATTGAAGGTGTCATGCAGAGGCAAGCCAACATTGCAAGTCTCAGCAACAGCGCAGAGCGCAGAGATCTGCCAAAAGAGAAGAAAGGTGAGCAACAGCCCTTCAACTGCACAGATCTGGCTGCCAAGTCCTACCACCCAATCACAAGCGCAAGTGCAACTCACCATGGCATTGACCTGAGCCTTTTTGAGGAGCTCGTAGACAGCACTGTGCCTCTGGGTGACATGGCCCATGGCCTTGGAGATGTTCTGGAGGTGACCTTGGAAGCGCAGGTGGTCAATGGGGGTAGGTGTGGAAGATCTTTTGTAAGATCTCACAGGATTGTGGCCCTGATCGAGGATGCCCTGATTGGGGACAAGGAGGCACTTGCCATTGGACCAATCTGAGCCTTTTCAAGAAGGCGGTACACCGCACCCTGTCTTTAGATCATACTTGTCTTAGCCTTGATCACCTTGTCCTTGGCGTAGATATCCAGGTCCTTTGCATGGATCATCTGGTTGTTGGGAGCTCATCCTTCTCCTCATCTTAGTCCTTCACTTGGACTTTGTCCTTCACCTGGACTTCCTCCATCTTGGGTGACAGCCTGTCCTCATGCTTGACTTGCACACCAATGGCACTCAGTGCCTGTTGTCCTTCCAGAAGGACCTGCAAGAGAGATGATGGGAGAGATTGCGCCTGTAAGCACCAATTGAGCAGCTGCTGCTGTGAGGGGGTTTGATGTTTCTTGAGCCTGCTAATCTCCGCATTGCGTGCTTGAATGATTGCATCCTGAGCTTACAAGATTGCTGGGCTCAAGGGCACCATTGCTGCCCAAGCAAACAAGATCCAAGCCTTGCAAGCACAGATCAAGACCAAGGGTGCCCGCAATCAAACCAACTTCAATGATCTGGTGAGTCAATTGCAAGCGTGCATTGACAATTGATTCTGACCCCTCTGCCTCCGCTGTCTCAGTACTTGCTCATGTGGTACCTAGGTCAGGTTTTGGGAAGTCGAAGTCCCTCTCTGAGTAGATGCCAATCTTGTGATGCTTTACATTCAAGAAGTGTCCAGGGGTCTTTTTGGGGAGCAAGCTGCCATTGCTAGCCAATGACTGTGATGACTCTGACTTCTATGCGCGCGCAATTCTCTTGTCAGTAACTTCATGACGCTAAGAAGGTAGCAGATGTACCCTTTGCAGAGATCATGAGCGCATTCAAAGTAGGTGCTCTCTCTTTACCCAAGTATGCAGAAGTCCTAGCTGACCCCAGGGCTTCTTTCCTAGGATCATGCGGAGCGCAAGCAAAGCAAGACTACAAACAGCAAGAAACCCATGCTCGACTAACAACGTATACGCCTGGTATGCAGCCACAGATGTATTCACAATTGTCAAAGCATGCGTGCACGCTTCATGACCCTGCACCACAACTCGCTTGCTTTGTCGGAATGAAGCAATTCTACTTGCCAGATCCTGTTTGACCGATGATGAGAGGCTAGCTGCTGTATCCTCTAGCACAGTGAATTCTTTGGAACGTCGACCAGGAGCGATGTAAGGGCAAGCAAGTAGCAAGGTTTCTGGCAGGGTGTTTGGCCAGCCAACCGACCTCTGCAGGCATGCGCAACGCTGCACAAGCTTGCTAGGACAAATGGTCTTTGACATCGGCTGGCAAGCCTGCAGTGAACATGCTTCCATCACTCGACAAGCGTGATGACTTGCAGCTCCAGACGAGACGTCCACGCTCCGCGCGGCAGCATGCATTCCAGCATCAGTCTCCGATGCAGGTCTTGCATCACATCACATCGCAACAACATCTTTGGCTGGACTCACACATAGTAGCGGGTTTACAATCAGTGCAGAAGGTATCGTCAGGCTGCCCAATGTGCACTCTCAATGCAAGGAAGCACAGAATGACATATTTTGGGGTGCAGCAATCACCCAGGAGCACGTCTAAAAGGCTGATCACCGCAGCTTTTCGGATCTCGCAGTGTTGGGGCTACACAGTGCTGGCGCAACCAGAGGGTGGTGTGGGAGACGTAGGCATAAGTTGACAAACGGCTCAAATGCGCGTCTTGTTGAGGTGGGAGGCTTGGAAGAGAAAATCTGGTCCACGCCAAGCTTTGGGCCGGCCCGCCAAACCCCGTAGCGCAGGATCACAAGCTCTTGAACGCTATCAATGGCTTCAGACGAAGTGCGTACTGAAACAAACTTTCTTCTACCCCTTTGGTCCAGCCGTGAGCGACGAGCCAAACGCAAAAGCCCTGAAGCCCCGCAAAGCCAGCTCCTCTGGCTCAAAGCGGCACACCAATCGAGATGCGACGCGTGGGGCTTCTGTGTCATGGCTTCTGTGTCATCGACCAAACCCGCTTTGCCTGATATTTGATGTGACGACAGATCATTCCTGGCGGTCAGGGCACATTCAAACGCTGGATTTTGAACAGTGCTGCAAGGAGACACAAGCAAAGTAAGTCCGCAAAGAAGAGAGATGATGAGAGCCAGCACACTGCTGAGCGCCGCAATCTGTTCTACCGCAAGCAGAGCAACTTTCGAGGTTTTTGACATCTTTTGTCATGTGTTAGGACGACGACCGAGATCGTCGCCCGGCACACGTGACGTGACAGCGGCGACCTATCGCACAAGAGCCTCGACAAGTCACTTGCACGAGAGACGCGCCGCAGACGAACGCAAACCTTGCAGTCCCCTTTTGTAGTCTTTCCTTCGCAAGGTACTTGTTGACCAAGAACCTCATCGCAAATACTATTCATACCCTGATTCTATAGACGCTCCGCCAAATAAGGTGTAGAGACCTAGACAGAAGGTCATGTAAGTATGCGCGCAGAGAACAAGGTCGATGATGTAACGTAAGGTTCAGCCAACCCCTCGTCGCGCCTGTCGTTGACCAACAGCCTTGGCGAACCCGCTACTCCCCGCAGTACCGGTCTAACATCATGCCTTTAGGATATCTCGTCACACTGCTCTATATCTGTCAACAAGTGTCCATGCTTGGCTAGATCTCTAGTTCACATCATCAAGCCTCGTCCGTCGCAAGCGGAGTAATAGGACTTGCCTTCAGGATATCTTGTCACACCGCTCTAATCTGTCGACAAGTGTCCGTGCTTGGCAAGATTTCTGGTTCACATGATCACACCTTGTCATTTGCAATCAGAGTGATGGGACTTGGACGCGCGTAAACCACTACAAGAACTTCTGCGCCCTGGTCCTTTGAGTGGCTTCAATAGGCGGTGCAAGCTCATTGATGTGATTAAACAGTATATATGGGTGTGTTGCTGTCTTGTCCAATGCAAGGACTTCCAAAGACCAATTGAGAGTCAAGTTTGGTGTGCTTTGATGTGATAAAAGAACATATGCAATCCTGGCGTGCTTGTTGTGGGAATTTGAGGATTGATTGGCCAGTAGAGACGTCTTTGCAAGGCAGTAAGGACGTGCTACAGGTCAGCAGGATGCTAGCAGAATGCCGCCTCAGTCCTTGTGCTGACTTACTGTGCTTGTTGAGGCTGTATTCATTGCTCTCCATCAATCAAAGATTGATTTGTAGTCTCCTGTGATCGTGTTTGCATTGGCCATCTTGTCATCAGCGTCCAAGGCATGTGGAGACAAGTATCCGTCCTCCCTGAGCTCATATACCTCCGTATCCAATGCAAGCTCATCCTCCTCCATGAGCTCATCCTTCTCCTTGTCTTTGTCCTTCACTTGGACTTTGTCCTTCACCTGGACTCTACTGTCATGATGATCTTGGGCGTAGGTGGAATGCTCTGCTTGGGGTCATTGGATGCTGCTTCACACATCTCAAAGGAACTATGCTGCAGGCCATCCTCTGCGCGTTGGGTTCCACACAGCAGTGGGTGCTTGCCTTGCAATGGATCACCTGCTTGCGGGCCTTGAACAATGCCACCCAGATTGGCAGGCTCAGGCAAGGTGTTGACAGGCACTTGCCAATCCGGGCAGGTGATACTACCTTCCCCAAGAGGAACGGACTGAGGCTGTGGGTGTGCAGCAGCAGCCCAACAAAGCTGATCTGGTGCATCTTTTGGAGCAGCAGTCCCATCAACAGTGTTTGCGAGCAGCATAGCATTGCATGCGATGATGAAGAGTGCTTCAAGCACATGAAGCCTGCGGAGGTCAAAGGCCTCTCTAACTTATCGCCCATGGTGACAAGGGCCCTGACATTGAGCCCGCTCCCTGCGCTCTGAACGGCCCTTTGGCAGAGGAGATAGCCAAGCCAACTGTCAAAGCCTTCATTGTGGTCTTGAGACTGCATCGGAAGCAGGGCATTACACAACTGCATGCAGGCGGAATCCAACAGTGTGCCTCAGCAGAGTGACCGTTTTTAAGGTTTTGAAAATCTTGGGGGAAAATGTGCTTGCGACACAACCCGGATTCCCCAGCCCAGAGCAGCGCACCACTATACGGAGGATGTTCAGAGACTGCGGATAGACTGGCGAGTCTATCAAGAGTGCGAGACGACATTCCCGAGTCAGGCGGAATGTTCCTTTGGCATGCTATGTATCGTTCTGGCTTGACACGTGAAACTGTCCAAGGAGTACACACAGGCAAGGGAATCACAAACGATGAGGATGACTGCACCTAAGGCAAACGTTCTGGCAGCGTCTCGTTCCCAGGCGTTGATGCCGTTCGAGCAGTCGCTGGCTTATTTCTCTCAGGCGATCTATGCAATCCCACCCCCTTGGCCCACAGGCTGCTAATGAATGACAGAGCTGCAAGTACGGCAGCGGCAGTCAGAGCGACCATTACGCCGCGCCCGTAGGTCGCAGTAACTGCTCCCCTGTAACTATCGGGCAAATCTCGTATGGCATCGGTGGAGTGTCGAACGTTTTCCACAATTCTTGCCTTCTCGATGGGGCTTGCATCCGGCAACGCAGCGTCGATCACTGATGGTAGCTTGGCACGCAACCAATTCTGCAAAATAGCAGAGCCCATTGCGACACCAGCGACGTTGCCAAGACTGCGACACAAGTACACAGTAGATGTGGCGACGGCTTGATCTGTGCGGCGCGAGGCACGAGAGGGCGCCGCAGGCAATCAGCTTTGCTAGCGTGGTGCAGATTTCGCCAGCCTTCACACACCTTGATGAGGAAATGCAGCGAGCATCGTAAAGAGACTGCTGGGATTGATAAGGCCTTGACCAATCTGTACCGGGATTAGCCGGAGAAAGTAATAGACCCCGGATCGTGTTGGGGCGCTGGCATCCAAGTCGAACTGCAGAGGCAGCAGACTGCCAAGAGTCAAGACCACGCAGCCAATCTGCACGAGGGTCCCAAGCTTGCCGTACCGGGACATGACGTAGCCGGCTGCAATGGCGCCGATGGGAAATCCGAGAGCCGGCAGGATCAGACGCTTTCCGACTCGAGAAGTGTCCTCAAGTCGACAGCCTAGAAAGTAGAGAGGAACGGTGAAAAGAGTGGCATAGATGCTGGCTCCTGACAAGAAGTTCGTGGCCACGTTCGACTTCGAGAGCCTGCTGCCGAACACCATTCTTGCCGGTAGAATCGGTGCAGTCGCTCGCGCTTCCGCAACGCGGAAGAAGACGTAAAAGCAAGAGAATGCCAAGGCGAAAAGCGATATGCTGGTCCAAGAAGACCACTCGATTTCATTTCCCCCCATGCTTAGCGCGAGCAGGAGTGCCGAGACAGAGACGACGAGCGTGATCGCACCTGCTAGGTCGATGGGAGCATCGCGCGGAAGTGGCATCACCTCTGGGTCCTTGACTAGCAGCGCACCGCCCAAGACCGCAGCTAGAGACAAGGGTAGCTGAAGTAGGAAGACATACCGCCAGCCGATGAGCTGTGTAACGATGCCGCCACACGAGGCACCGAGTGCGCCTCCTAAGCCATACATGAGGTTATTGGCCGCTTGGTAGAGACCCCTCCGCTTGAAAGGAACATTGTCCGAAAGCACGACAGTGGCCATCGTCATCAGACCACCTCCTCCTAATCCTGCGATTGCTCGAGAGATGTTGAGAGCGAGCATGCTATTTGACACGCCGCACAGCAAGCTCCCAATGGAAAAGACTGTAGTCCCAAAAAGGAATAAGGCTCTTCTACCAAGTATATCAGACAGTCTGCCGTACAGGGCTTGGAAGCTGACAGCAGTGATGAGATAGCTTGTGCTGACCCACACAGCATTATTGGCGGCGCCAAAGTCGGATGCCACCTTGGTGTAGATGCTGGCTGCGACGGTCGAGTCAAATCCAGTGAGGAAGACGTTGATCCATGTGACTGCCTGTATGAATCGCAGTCTCGTACTTGGCTTCCACTCTTCATCACTCGGTGCGTAGGATTCCTCTGAAGGTCGAGAACTGGCGGACAATAAGCTGCTTCTCTCGTTCGCTTGCTCTGATGAAGCTTGTTCCTGGGCTGAGGTCGCGCCAGAAGCTGGGAAAGTATCGGAGTGCATGACTGCAACGTCGCTGCGTCCTGCTCGATGGGGCGCTATACGTTCAGCCTTGAAAGTGAGGCTAGCGATGCTTGGTAGTGTCTGGTGCGGCCTTCATCGTCCGGATGGTGGTGGAGCGCAAGGCAAGTTTGATGACAGCCGTCAGACTCATCATGTCACGTCGTGTCCACCGCCTCGTTATGCAATTTCAATGCTTGTTGAGGCTGCCAAGAGAGCTCACGGTAATCACCGAATCGCGAATAATCACGAAAGACGAATGCAGTCGTAGTTTTCAGTCAAAACAAGAGTCGCAGCGTGAGTGTCCCATTCAGGTTCCTTCTTGACGCTTGTGCCCGAATGGGGGCGAAAGCGCCTTTCCTTTGCAGACAGATGCAGGTACATGCGCGTGGCTTAGATTGCGCAATTCAGGTGATTCGCAGTCACGAGTCAAATATTCCAGATGACTCACCCTCAACTTCCTGCACGTGACGTCGACGTCTTGACAGGTCGTTGCTGCCTAGGCTCTCATACGCTGCCCTGTCACCTGTGCAAGATATACCTCATCTTCGTACGCATGCTAGTCGTGAGGTCTGGATTTGGATAGGAGCTGGGCTGAGCTGAGCTCGAAATGTCTTCAGTCAAGAGTCACAGTGTAAGCGTCGAATCGTCGTGAGTGTGCGTGAGCGTCATCCGCACGTCGTTTAGAGGAAGGCGCGAGTAGGCGATCGCGAACATGACTGCTCACGCTGTCGACTAAGCTGCGCAATTGACCCTCGTCCTCAGCAGCGGCGACTGCCACTCACTACTACTCAGGAGACTATTGGTTTTGATACAAAGACGACTACCGAGGCCAACAGGCCGTCACACTTGGACTTGACCTTCGCCACATTCACTGATTCATCGATTGGCACGACAAAGTCTGTGCGCATAGCCTGCAGGAGTTGCCATCCCACAAGATGCAGGATTCACGAACCAGGAATAGTGGCTTCACGTGACTGGTCAATTTCTCATCTACGGGTCACTCAAGACTGTGCCAAATTCGAACCTCGAATGAATGGCTGATTGGTGAGTACAAAATTCTTAATCGCGATAAGATCGAACGCAGACAGGCAAGCCACGTTCGACAGCTGGCCGGCTGCATGGCTGCACGCGTCGCGTCAAGGAAGGGCCTCCGCTAGAGCGTGGTTCGCGTGCTTGCTTCTCCCGCCTAGCTTTAATTGCTGTTATTCCCCCACCCGCCAGCTTGGTCCGCTGCCGGAGTCAAGCACGAGTCGTGAATATGCATGGGCGAGGGTTGAATGTGAATTGAATGCAGATGGATAAGCGTGCATACGATCAGTTCTAGCCGGTCCTCCGCTAGACAGCCACGCGACGTGAGGGCAGCAGGTCAGTGTCCCGCCAACGCTGGACCAATTGTGAGTGCAATCCACAAGATTAAGACTCACACTCACGACTCGCCATCTCCGCTGCATCACCTCGACCCTGCCGCTTATTGCTGCTGCTAGAGATGGCTGGCAAGGGGGCCCTCGCAAGATGGGCTAGCTAGCTGATCGATCATCTCTGATCGCAAACGCGCTTGTCGATGTCAACATCCTGAAATCTGAATCTGTGTCAAAGCTTTGGTCTGGGCTGGCATCTCCAACTCACTGACTGCTGCCACGCAACGCGACTCGTGAATGTGCCCTCGCGCTTGCTGAAGGGTGTCGCAGGAGCTTCAATTCCTCACCTAATAAGGTGCCGACCTGCAACGTTGCGGCGACCCTCATCATCCACTTCCTACACATCCCGCCAGCATCTCTTCTGCTCTTGCTACATTCTACAGAGCTTGATCATCCAACCTTTAGCTCATCGAAAATGCTCGCCGTGCCCGCCTATTCAACATCCGTGCCAGCTTCGGTTCAGCCTTGGGCCTCGGTGCAAGGCTACTATGCTCCCTTGGGTTCCCCCGGCGATGGCTGGCCTCCTTTCCTGCGACCCATCCCTTCCTTTCGAGTACCCACCGCTGCATATCACTTTCTTTCCGTCGCCGAACCGGAGCCAACGCAAGAGCAGCTGAGACTCATGCAGACCTTGTCTGGAAATGTACCCGGACCCTCACGTAGTGGCTTGTCTTCTTGGGATCAAAGAAACACGGGCAAGCTGCGATGGGTCTTTCGGCTGCCTATGGAAGTCTTGGATCTCATCGTTGGATTCGCTGTGGTCAATGGCAGCGGCCCTGCTCTTGCGCAGAGTGAGTTCCGCTAGTCTCAATGTGAGGTGTCTGCCATGCTGACTGCGGTGCACTCGCAGCTTCCTCGACGCTCCGATGCCTTTGCACACCAAAGCTCTATCGACGACCGGTCATTCGGAGCTCGGACGCCATGTCACTACTCCTCGCAACATTGTGCGCGCAACCTGATCTGGCAGGATATGTTCGCGAGATGGATGTGCAAGCGCGCTCAGTTCCTTGGGCAGATGCACGAGCGCTCGCAGACATATTGCAGCGATCATCGTCGGCTGGTCGCTTGGACCGACTAGCAGTCCGCTTTCAAGGCAGTGAGTCTGAGCGGCATCACAAACGACGTGACACACAACATCAGGCTCATGATCAGCCCATGCATTTCTTCCAAGGTGATCTCTCGTTAGCGCTTCCTTTTCTCCAGCGTCTTTCACCTCGCAAAGTGGAATGGGTAAGTGGAGACAGTCTGCGATGCCCCAACACCCGTTTCCCTGCTGAAGCATTGTCTGCTTTTCCCTCAACTAGTCGACGTCTCCTTGCTGGTACATGCGACCCGAAGACCTGTTCATCGAGCTGCTCTCGGGCTGGCAAGACCTGGTCGAGCTCAAGATCGCAGGATTTGCTCCTGATCAAGTCATGAGCTCAGTCATAGCGAGTGCGCCGTCCCTAGAAGCCGTAGAAATTCGCGGCGCAGCTTTGGCGCGATTGGATGTAGAGACGTTAGCCGCAATGCTCGCCTTGGCGTTGAGAGACGGCAGGCTTCTTGCAGAAGTGAGGCCGGGCTCGAGTGCAGCTGAAAGCAATGCCGACGCATCAGCAATGGACGTCGATGGCGCGTATCAGCCTTCCACGACCACCTCTTGCAGGCAACTAGCAAAGATCCGCCTTAGTGGTGTTCCGTTTCAGAAGCAGCAAGAGCTGCTCGGTGCGCTACCGCAGCTGCTCCTGCGACTCCAACAAAGCGATCTGGACGCAGTGGAGCTGCAAAAGAGGTATGGACTCTTGACTCCTCCAGCCTCTCCAGACCACGAACGCGCCATTGGGTCCATCGAAGTAGCTCAAACGAGAAAGATTCAAGAAGCTGCGCTGCGCGAACGAATTTCTCAAGTCCTCGAGTGGGCCTGACTGTAGGAAAGATGTGTCCCACATCACCCATTCACTATTGTACTCTTAGACTTTCCGCCTCTTGCTTCCACGCCTGCACGACACGCAAGAGCACGCACTGATACCGATATCACGCACAATGCATCACGTTCATCACGCACAAGCATGATCGGCATGGGTCGTATTGCGTGTGCCGTTGTGATTCCAAAAGTTGCGTCGCCCTATCCATCATACGCAGCATGGTAGCCCTAAGAGTAAAGAAGCGCGCGGAAACCCCAACTCAGTGGCTGTACAAAATAGGCCAGTCATTCTGTAAGACACTTACATCGCGCTCTTCCAGGAATTCCAAGTAGCTCAATGCAACCTGTGTACGGGCGGATGTTGGAAAGGGGCGGTGAATTCCTCGCTCAGGCCAGTGACTCGCAACGCGTGCATTCACCTGAATCCAAAAGTCCACTTCGAGACCGACGGCCTTGACAGCATCCATCTGCAGCCTCAATCTACCCCTCGTCTTTGCACCAAGCCAAGCCGGAGTCAGATCCTCGAACCTCAACATCTCCACAGCATTTGCCAGCCGCACGCCTGTCCTGTCTGTTCGCGCTTCCATTTCACCTGCTGCAGTCGTAGACGACGTGTGCTGTGGAACATCTATCCAACGAACAGTGAAAGATTTGCAAGAATCCAAGGCTAAAGATGGCCGGACTTGGGCTGGGATCATGTTCCATGCCCAACGAGCCCAGCTTGAGCTGCCACTCTGCCGTTTGGGCGAGAGAGAGTCTGCACTGCTCCTCCGTGAGTCTGACTTCAGATCTGCAGCTCCGAAGATGCTCTGCCATCCCTCTGCACTTGCTCCTGTGCCATCGAGCAAGACAAACGTGCACCTTGTGGGCTGGATATCCTTGCCTTCTCCATCGAGCTCGGGCGTGTTGACATGAAGCAGGCTGTTTCCGTTCGCTTGCAGGGGAGATAGGACCTTGGGCAATGCCGGCTCATAAGGTCGATCGTGATTGGTGAGCCCATTAGATGAAGGAGGCCTGAGCAAAGTCTTGGCCGACTTCGGACCATCCTGCCTGGCGCGATGACCCCAATCTCCGTCCTCTGCTTCTTCGGGGACCATGTCCACGTCCTTTGGGGCTTTGGACGCGCTCGGATTTCTGGAGCCCAGATCTCGAGCAGATTGCTCTGAAGCGGTCCCGACTGAGCTGTCCGCCGACCCTGAAGCGCCACCTGCGCTCCTCTTGCGGACGTGAAACTGCGAGCTGATGCGGCTCACACCTAGGTCTAGAGATGTCGAAGTGCTGTGCCGCGCACCACTCGCATCCAAACCACTCGTCGAGATGTGCGTCGGGAATTTTCTAGGACTCGCTTCCAATTTTGACAGAGGCACATCTTCAAAGTCGGCCGCAGAATCATGCCGACTGTGACTTGTTCGTGATGGATGGAGGGGTCGCGCATGGGCAGGAATGTGACAGGAACACCTTCGCAGAGCTTGACGATCGATTCGTGATCCTATGACCACCTCGAGTGGAGTTGCCGAAACGTCGATTGCGGCGGCATCGGCCCTTGAAAGAACGCGCGAGGCACGCAGAGGTATTGCAGTCTTGGGAGGAAGAGAGGGGCTCCGCAGATGGAGATACCACCTACAGTATCATGGTGTCAGAGTGAGAGCATCAGATTGAGCAAGTGGACGAAGGATGTGCAGCACATGATCTACTCACCCTCTCACAGGTCGTGCAGTACTCCACTTGACCCTACCGCTGTTGGCATCGATCAGATTATCGACGATCTCATCGCCCAAGGTGGAGTCCAGCTCGGAGCTGAGAGTCCTCTCCTTGAACCAAATCGGCCTTTCGACTTTTGATGCCGAGGCTGCCGATGACTCTGGTACAGGCAAACAGACTTGTATGCGTAGGTCGCTGATGCTGGTTGTTGCTGTGCTTACCACGTACTCTGCGACAGCGGATGGGCGTGAAGAGGATGCGATGGAAGAAGCTGTGAAGTCTTGACTACGATGGGGGGATGAAGGCGGATGCGATGGGATGCCCTGCGGATACACGCGGGCGCGAGCCCTTGCGCGCCCAGAATCCTGAGGGTGGTCTGTCAAGGCCAATGGGGAGGGCGCTAGAGTGCGATGGATGGACCTGATGGTGGATGTGCTGGGACCTGGCTGGGGTAGCTGCGCAGTGGAGCTGTCCTGCGACCCAAGCGAAGAGGTGGCCGTGCTGGCCAGAGGATGCCCCATCACCGAATCGACGTGCCTGAACGGCTGCTCCCGAGCGGACGCAACAAATGAGCTGGCGGTAGGAAGAGAAGAACTTGTGGATGTGGATGTGGATGTGGATGTGGATGTGGATGTGGATGTGGATGTGGATGAGGGAATCAAGAATGGTGTATTCAACCTACGCTTGCTGGACCTTGACCGTGCGCGCTCTCGGCTTTCGTGATGCCAAAGCTGATGGCGCCTCCGCGCGTGCATGGACCCGTGCCATGCCATGCATCCAGATCGACGGGTGCCTGGTGGTGATTGGAGATTGTCGCCACGCCCCGGCCCGCCAAGTCCTGCAAACCTATTTTTAGGCGCACTCAGGGCAGGCCATGCAAGCGCGCGGCACGCTGTGCGTGTATAGGTAGGTATATTCACATTCACATTCACATTCACATTCACGTGACTGTGCCTAGCGTGCAAGCCTTATTCAGATTCAAGATTCACGCTTCACGCTTCAATTTCTTGATTCACGATTGCGGTGCGAGTGGGAAAGAGCGCGCAAGAATTAAGAGGCAGATTCCACCCCCGCCGCGGCTCCACTTTTTTTTTTTTTTTGCAGCGATCAAGCTGCCATTAATTGCAAGTCACGCGTCACCTGCAGCAATCGGTCATGCCGCGGCTGCGTGGATGGCGCTTTAGGGAGCGAGAAGATTCGTGAATGTCGGTCAAGCCTCACCCCTCACGGCTATAGCGCTACTTGACCCTACACGCTCACGACTCCTCACTCGACCTCAAGACTCAGGACTCAGGACTCAGGACTCAGGACCAGAAGTTGTAGGTGGTGCCAAGCAAGCGCAGAGCGCAGTCTGCCGCCGCGGAGTGTCCTTGCATTCGCGACGCTTGCTTACTGCACAGCATGCGCAACCTCGTCCTCCTCTCGTCGCCATCCTACCTCACTACTGCTACCAGCACTCTGACTCAGCATGGCCAGCCTTCAGCTTCAGCTTCGTCCTCTTCTTCGCCCTCGCCCTCGCCCTCGGGCATCGCAGTGAGCAACGATCGTTTGACAGTCAGTCCCACTTCCCACACGCTGTACTGGGCCACATCAAGGCCATCAACCACACATGCAGGACTGGTCACTTTTGACGTGTACCAGCACTCGCATGCGACGTCACAGTCCCAGCATGAGGCAGTCGGCTCGCACCATGCACGCAGCATCTGCTCCTTTGCCGCTCCTGGCTCACCTCAAGGTACAGCCGAAAGAAGTCAAGTGCTGTCGCTGGCGTACCTCACCGATATCGCGCAAGACGGCTCTGATGCGCTCATCATTGTAACTTCCGGTGGAGACATTGGCGTGGTTGCGCTTCCATATCATGCTTCAGGCCAAGGCCAGTCCCAGTCGCTTGCCTCCGCTCCACCGCCTCCTCCGGAAATCGTGGGCAGCGTGGAGCAGGGCATCCTTGCCGCCGCTTGGAGTCCCGACGAGGAGCGATTGGTGCTGATCACTGCAGCGTCGGAAGAGGATGGGCCGGAAAAGATGCTGGTGATGAGCAGGAGTTGGGAAGTGGAGCACGAAAGCGTGCTCATCTCCTCCGATTTGGGCAAAGGTGAGTGACGCGTCGACTTGCGAGAGACCCAGCAAGCAGCCCAAGCGTCAAGTCGAAAGACTTCATGGGGCAAAGGGGCAGGCAGGCAGGCAGGTGAAGCGCGTCATCAGAGCTGATCGTTGATGCATCTACACTCGACTCGTGACTGTGACTTCGCTCAGACACGTTTGTCAATCTCGGGTGGGGATCCATCGAGACGCAGTTTCACGGTCAGGCAGGCAAGCAAGGCGCCGCTCTGGCATCGCAGCAAGCCTTGGCATCTGGCAGAAGTTCGTTCTTGCCGGATGACGATCTGCTTCCCCGCATATCCTGGAGGAGCAACAGCGAGTCATTCGTAGTGTCGTGCATCAACCAGCAGTCATTCGGCGAGGGCCAAAACACTTCGTCTAGAGTGATGAGGATATACGACAAGAGTGGCGTGCTGTCCACCACCAACGAGCCCGTCAAAGGGCTAGGCCTCATCGCTGCTTGGAAGCCCAACTCGCTCTTGATCGCTTCCGCACAACGTTTCGGCGAGGGTCCAAACCTGCAACCTGGTCGGCAGGGCCGACACGATGTCGTCTTTCTGGAGAACAATGTGAGTGGCGCCTGCGGTCGTACCGCTTGGTAGAGCCTAAGCAGGCTGAACGACAATCGCGCACGCAGGGTTTGAGGCACGGAGAGTTTAGCCTGCGGGAAGACTCGCACTCTATGCCCGTTGTTGGTCCTTTTGGAAGCCTGCCATCTTCTTCCCTTCCTGACAGAAGCACGCCACACTCCATCCAAGACCTCACTTGGAACTCTGATGGTAGTCTGTTGGCGATTCATTTGGTCAGGATGTCCTCAACAGCGGAAAAGCAGCACTTGCTTCAAATTTGGTCGCCCACGAACTACTGCTGGACATTGCGCCAAGAGCTCGAAGTTGCGCCTTGCGAACAAATCAAACACTGCACTTGGCATGGCGAAGATGTCTTGTCTCTCCGTCTCCTGACCAGTCAAAGGGTCATCTCGTACACTTTCAGCTTCGTCGAAATCACTTCGAATGAGGAAATGCCGCACGACGCTGCTTGCGCTGCAGTCATGGACGGGACCCATCTGCGACTGACCCCGCTCAGAACGCGCAATGTGGCCCCTCCATATGCCGCATACACGTTGTCGATTAGCGAAGCTGAGACCAACAAGGACTTCGGGCAACGATCTGCCACTATAAGACATGTGGCCTGGTGCGACGACTCTACAGAAGACGCGTCACGAAGCATTTTAGCCCTCCTGATCTGCGGTCCTACGCGACGATGCGTGTTGCTGTACGCGTGCGAATGGGGCAATCTCGCAAAGAAAGCTCCCCAAGGCGGCTGGCCGTTGCATGCGCCTCGTTTGCTCGGCGAGGTGGCATCCTTACCATTCGATGCAGAAGACGCAGCTGCTTCCCCTGGACTCTCAAGACAGGTGGCAGTCTCAAAACTCGGTGATGGTGGCACGGCGAACTCGTTTCGCGTGGCGGTACTCGGCACAGACCGGTTAGGGACATCAGACTTGCTTAGCTTGTGCGACGTAGAGATGGATGAGACACGACGCACCGCGACGCAGAGCTCGATGAGAGATTTAGGCCTGGGTGCCAGCGCCCCTCGCGTTCTTGCCCCATGCCTGGGCTTTGAAGCTACGAGGGCCGGAGGTTTCTATGTTCACAGTGCTGACGGCTCTGTCAAAGGTGCGTCTCAAATCGACTAGTTCGGGAGCCATCGCGAAAAGCGCTCACACACTCATTTGGACGTCTCAGGCTTCTCTGGCCCCATCGAAGGCGTCGAAGAACTAGACGCAGACATGCAAAGGCTCACAGAATGGTGTCCCTCAGTTTTGCATAGGAGGATCGCGCACATTGCGGAAGATGGGTCAGAGCAGGCTGTCGGCACCTCGATAGAGATTACGCTCGGCCTTTCGACGTCTGGCAAGCTCTACGCCAACGAAAAGTGCATCGCTTCGGATGCCACTTCCTTTGTCCTGAGCGGCGACACGCTGGTGTGGAGTACATCGGCGCATCGAGTGAAGTTTCTCTCCCTATCTTCGTGTGTTCAATCGAAAGAGAACGCGGAAGTCATCTCGCATCGCTATGATGCTTCTGATGAAGATAATCCACTCAGTAGGAGGGTGGAGCGAGGGAGCAGGATTGTGACTGCCATTCCAAGCAGCATGTCCATCGTACTACAGATGCCCAGAGGCAACTTGGAGACCATCTATCCGAGACCTCTGATCCTGTCTGTGGTCCGCCAACACTTGGCGAGGTGAGTTTGGCTCTCTGCGGGGCAAAAAGACAAGCTGACGCTTCCCTGCGCAACTATTCTGCAGCTCGCAGTATGGTTCGGCATTCGGAATTTGTCGGACGCATCGAATCGACTTGAACATCATTGCACAGCACTCGGCGTTGCTCAGCGATCTCGAGCTGTTTGTGACACAGATGGAGCACGAAGATCACCTTAACTTGTTCCTCTCTGCTCTTTCAACAGACTTGCTTCACGCTGACAAGCTAAATGAGCTGTGCGAGAAGATGCGCGCCGTACTTGATAGAAAGCCCCTAGGCAAGCGCTGGACGAACAGCTGTTTGGTCACCTTTGTGAAGCAGAGCCCTCCCAACTTTGAAGGCGCGCTACTTCGCCTTCGCGACATACACGGTCGGTGTCGCATTGAGCGGACAGGCAAATTGAAACCAGACTTACGCGATTTCTTTCCTTCCGAACAGTGCAAGACGTCGAGGCGGCAAATTCAGCATGCCAGTACTTGATTTTTCTGGCAGACGCGGACAAGCTCTATCGAGCAGCGCTTGGTCTTTACGACTTTGTGCTGCCATTGTTGGTAGCTCAGCACTCGCCACGCAAAGATCCGCGAGAGTACCTCGAGGAGTTGCGGTCGATTCGGGCAATCGAAAACGTGCACTATCAAAGATACGACATCGATGATAGGCTAGGCAGACACGGCAAGGCTCTGAGCTGGATTGCCCGCGCGGGAGACGAACATTACGAAGCTGCAGTGGAATACGCGGACCGGCACAACCTGGAAAAGCAGGCCATCGTTGCTTGGGCGCATGAGCCTCGAAGACAAAGAGCCGCTTACGAGCGATACGGCGATGTTCTTGTGAACAAGCAAAAGTACTCGGAAGCTGGCGCTGGTGAGTGTAATTGGGCCAGTGGGTCTCGCTTGGATGTGTCGCGCGACTGAAGCTGCTTGCTATTCCCAATTCATATTAGCTTTCGTTCTTGCTCGGCAGAGGAACAAGGCGATCGATGCGTACAAGAGAGCAGACGACTGGCTCAACGCATTTGCAATTGCCGTAGAACCACCTCGCCTACCCTCCACAGAAATTGAGCTACTTGCCGACATGCTGACAGGTGAGTAGCCACACAATTTGCCCGAGCGAAACGATCTCAACAAATTACATTGCGCTCGCAGCATCACTCAGTGACGCTGGCCGGTATGAAGACGCTGCGCGCGTCGCCATCGAGTATGCGAAGGATGTCGACCACGGCATTGAGCTGCTCAGTACAGGACGCCATTTCTCTGAAGCGCGTCGAATGGTCAGTGGGCTCCCTTTATCTACTCGGGAAGTGACGCGGCTAGAGCTATGCTCACGAGGATGTCTTCCTTTCCTGCAGTGCGCTCATCACAGCCGCATGGATCTTGTCGAGACTCATGTCAAGGTGAGTGCAGAGCTTTGATCAAGAGCTGTCTCGATGTTTGGGAAGCTCACCGTCACCTCTTGCCCATATTCGCTGCCTCTCGCCAGCCGGCCACGCTTGAGGCGCAGACTACTCTGCTGGACGATGTTGAAGCCATGCACAAGCAGCTAGACACCACCTTGGTGCGCATGGCAGAGCTGCGGCGCAAGAAGCGAGAGAGCCCGGGTGAGTCTGATCGATCACCGGGCATCAGCCCCCCATCTCACCGAGTTGCGACCTTGCGTGCACAGAGGAATTCTATCCGGACGATGGGCCTTCAGATCCTCAAGCAGATGGGCGCAGCGATGCCTCGACGAGAATATCCGCCTTGTCGCGCTTCACGCGATTCACGAGGTTCACGGCGTCTGCGGCTGGAAGCACGTCCATCGCTGGGTCTGATATGAGCAACCTCACGGCAAAGCAGCGGAAGAAAGAAGAGAAGAAGCGAGTCACGGGAAAGAAAGGAAGCGTGTACGAGGAAGATTATCTGTTCGAGAGCTTGAAGAAGTTGCTCAGCAGCAGGTTGAGAGAGGTACAATGTGAGCAAGATACGAACTGTCGGCCCTTTTTTTGTACCGGCGACTTTTATGCTGACGCGCATGCGATCCGAACCACGACGACGACAGCGTCGACTGCTGCTCTAGTTCCACACCTCTTGGTGCTATCGGGAGCCCAGCGCTCAGCAGCGAGCGTCTTGAGCGCATCTTTGAGCAAGTTTGAGATGGAAGCGCAGAGCAAATTGCGAGACCTAAAGGACGCTCTGCTGGTAGAGTCTAGGGCGATGGAAGAGATGCGCTTGGATGCGTTGAGGAGCAGCTCTGCGCAGGGAATCGCGTTTGAAGAGTTGGCCGCTGCTGGCCTTTTTCAACCCTTGCCTAGGCGGGACGAGGTGGCGTTGTCGGATGTCGAGTGGAGGAATGTGGTCGAAGAGGCTGCGAATGCTCGGTTGGAGATTCAAGTCGACGTGTAGCAGCGAAAATGCGTAATGATGATGAAAATGGCAGGACTGGTGGGCGTTACATACAGCGCGTCGTCCGATTGCGCCATGACGGCTGCTGACATCGTGAAGGCACCCGCCAGGACGTTTGTGATGCGAATGCAAAATACAAATTACAGGATGTCAAGCGTGGGCATTGCGTACAGGTACAGGTGCCATGGCAACAGACACGGAGGTGCAAGACTCGGCCAGCAGCTGGACATTCAATGTTCAGTACGAGCAGGGCCTGACGTTTGAGGAGCTTGGCGCATCTCGCGCGGATGATACTGGGTTTGCAGAGCTGGTGCGGAAATGTTATGAGCGGCGGCGCCAATGCCTGAGCTCGTCGCATCCTGGCCTGGCGCGTCGCTATTCTGCGGCGCGTGATGTTGCAGCTGATGAAAGTCCAAGCCTTGATTCTTGGCGAGAGGTACGCTCAGCTCGTTCGCTCTGCCCCCGAGCCCGCCCCCGCTAGGATGGAGCGTCTGGCCCAGAGCCGCGACGCCTGGCCCCGTAGGAGTTGTTGATGCTCCATAGGGACTCGAGGGACTGGTCAAGGAGGGAGATAGTAGTGCTTCCTTCATCAGGCCTTCCAGACTGTCCAACTCTGTCTTGGCTACGTGTCGAGCCACGCTGTCAATCTCCTTGGAGACTTGGGCGATGTGTTTCTGGTGGCCGGAACGACGCAGCAAGGTGGCTCAGTAGGAAGCTGTGATCGCGTTGCAACAAAGCACTCACCTTGAGCTTGGCGTCCATTTTGAGTGCGAGTTCCACCTGCATCGCAGAGATATCTGTCGGGCCTTGTCCACTCGAATGGAAGGGTGTGACAGGGGACAGGCCGTGTGGTGTGCCTCCACTCATTTCCGAAAAGTATCCTCCGCTCTGGTTCGGCAAACCAGAGGTGGAAACCGCCGCGCTGCTGCTAGCAACAAAGGAGAGCACCTTGCTATACACTTCTGTCAAGACGTCTAGGAGCGTGATGAAGGTTTCGTAGTAGTCTAGCGCAAAGGGCTGGACAGCGTTGCGGAAAGCAGCCCTCGTCGCACCTCAGTAGCTCGCTCTTGCGCTTCTTTCGATTGCAGCAGCCGAGCTCGTCGGACTCACGAGATGCATTCCAATTACGCTCGCATCCCCAACTGCGCCACTTTGGGCGTGGAAGGAACTGCTACTGTCAGCATAGGCAGTAGTGTTAGAATCACTGATGTGATCTAGACTGGCAGCGCTCCCCGGGATTGGTCCGGTAGCGCCCGAAGCTGAGGAGAAGCCGGAGTGAGTGGAGCTGCCGTCCTTGTCCAGGTCAAACGTGGTGCCCCGAGGTTTGCGAACTGTCCCTCTACTGAAAAAGTTGCGCTGCAAGAAGGTCGAGATGCGCAATGTCAGGGCGTGGGAATTTTCACGAGGGCCAGCGTCGTCGTCGCTTGCTCACCACGCTACCAGTCCCCTTGCTAGCACCTGCACCGGAATAAGGGGTGCTTGAAAAGCCGTACGGGGTGTTGCTCATGAGTGCTGAAGGATCTGGGGTCGAGTCGATTTCTGAAATGACGGCCAGCACGCTGCGAACGAATTCGGTGAGTGTGGGAACCTCGAGAAGTGGAGCAAGGGATAGCCCTACGAGCAGAGCTCGGTGCGATCTGGGTCGAGCATGCATGGCGTTTATGATGATCAGCCTGTCCACATGAGCGAGCGAGGATGTTCATGCAGCTCGGTTGTATACCGCTGCCGACTTGCTCACCTCTTCTTCATCTTTTCGGGGTCGTATATGCCATCGAGATCCCTCTTTGATAATCGAGTGGTACCAAGCCAGACATTCTTTCTGCAAGCAGTGAAGCAGATTCTGTCAGCGATCCAAATCCGCTCGCTCTTATCCATCGAGTACGACTTACCCGACGAGCGTCCTCTTGAGATAAGCAAAGCTGCTTAGTCTTCTTCCCAGCGTTTCAAGCAGAACGCTGGCTCCCGAGTTGGGCCCTGAGCTTGCGCCCTGTGCATTGGAAAAAACGCTGGCTGAGCTGACGGGGGCGCCAGCGGAAACGAATTGACTGCCTGCGGTGAGCCGCTCGGCGGAAGGGGAGGGTGTGCGAGCTAGTTGGCTGGTGGAGGAGACGTTTGAGGCAGAGCCTGAAGAGATGCCCAGCTTGGACATTGTGACAGACAGCTGAGCGTGACCGAGAGCGCGCAGACAGACGATGGAAAGCTGTGCGGAGTAGCACGCTGAAGACTGAAGGCGTGGCGTGGACTCGCAGAGCAGAGCTGCTATCAAGGATGGGAATGGAAATGGAAGAGAGGCGAAGCTTGTGAGGATTGCTTCTGCTTCTGCTTAATTGGCCTCTCTTCTGCTGCACGCTGGCACGCCGGTGGGAGCAAAGCGGTGCTGCGATGCGATGCTCGTTGAGCTTTTGACTATGAAGAGCGCGCGCGTGCACACACGCGTGCACACGTCGCTGCTGATGGAGTCACGAGTCACGAGTCACGAGTCACGAGTGTGACAGGCAAGAGACCAAGCAAGCGCGAATGAATCGCAACGTGTGTGCTCACTCAAACTTCCTGTGTGGATGATGGTCACAGCAAGAGCAATAGCAATAGCTGCTCAAGCATCCGTGACTCGAAACCTGCAACTGCAACTGCGACTGCAGCAATGCTGCTGGATGCTTGATGAAGACGGCCAGGCCAGCAGCTCAGCTCTCATCGGCAGCAGCGCACTGTGACTCCCGCGCCGCGTTGTGAGCCAATACGCATCTGCACGGACCTCCGCGGAGATGCGCTTCATTCGCGCCTATATATATATAGCTTTTCGCAGCAGATCCGCAACACACAACACAGACGCGATGCGATGCGATGCGATGCACTGACGCGAATATCCGTCAATATGCTTAGAAGAGAAGGAGAGTGGGCGAGCGAGCAGGGCATGGAACAGAAATTGCATACATGGCATATATATATGGCGGTGAGCGGGGATGCTCGAGCCATTCATTCGCATTCGCATTCGCATTCATATTCGAGCACATTCAAATTGCCTGACTCAAGATTCCTTGCCGAGCCACTTGCACACACATCACCTCGTACGCCCGCATCATCTCTCAGAACAGCCTCGAGGTACTGCTTGCTGCTCGCTGCTCGCTGCTGCGCGACTCGAGACTCGGCCATCCTCTCACCGCAGCAGAGCAGAACGGGGAGGATGAGCGCTGGTCTGCAAGCGCCTCGAGCTGCGATACGGGATGTGGAGCGGGCAGTGCTCCTTCCCCTTCCATCTGGCTTGCCATTCCGCAAGCACAACAAGCGCTTGAGCCAAGTCGCGCCTCTTGCGCGTCACAGTACCGCGCCATCACCCTCTGCCACGGTCTTTGCCTTCCCTGCGCAATGCCGCTGCAGCTCCAGCTCTAGCTCTTCTCGGTCGATCATCGCCTCTTCGCAAAGCGCCGCCTCTATCGCCTCTTCATCATCCTCCTCCCCACAAGCGCCCACGTTTCCCCTCCTAGCATACCCACCTGCAACCCACGCATGCGGAACTCTGCGACAATCGCACCTCTCCCAAAGTGTCAGGCTGCGAGGATGGATCTCTTCCCTTCGTCCCCTTTCCAAATCTCTGCTATTCTTCAACTTGGGAGATGCGAGCGGAAAGGTGCAGGTGGTGGTGAGGGATGCGCGTTTGAGAGGTGTGCTGGAGACGATGAGGGAAGAGGACTGCGTGGTGCTTCAAGGTGTCGTGCATGGGCGAGGAAAAGATGCGAGCGAGGTGAGTGCGGTTCCCCCCGCGCAAGCACACATCTCGGAAAGGGAGCCTGAGCCTGCATGCACGGCAGAGAACGATGCTAGGCACACACACACACACACACACGCACGCACGCACGCACGCAAATCGTCCTGTATGGCCGTTCCTTGCGCTCGCTCACAGTGGATTCCCCCTTCCCTTTCAGTCGCTGGCAACGGGTGCCATCGAGGTAGAGCTGAGTGGCATTCAATGTGTGGGCAAGGTGTCGCAGCCATTGCCCTTCTCCCCTAACGATGATCACAGCCTGGTGAGTGCCGTGCCGTGGCGTTGCAGTGCGCTTTCATCTCAAAGACCATCTTCAAAAATTTCAGCAGGACTGATTCCTCATTGTCCATCTCACTTCTTGCACAGCCCAACGAGACGTTCAGGCTGTCGCACAGGGTGCTCGATCTACGTCGATCGCGCATGACGCACAACCTTCAGCTTCGTTCCAAAGTACTACACGCAGCGCGCAATCATCTTCACTCTTGCGACTTTACAGAGATCGAGACGCCCATCCTTTTGCGCAGTTCGCCAGAAGGTGCAAGGGAGTTTCTCGTACCCACCAGGGTCCACCGTTCCGCATCCGACGCTCCTGCAGGCGCGACTCGTAGCACGCCATTGCCATCTCCCCAATTCTACGCGCTTCAGCAGTCCCCTCAACAACCCAAACAGCTGCTCATCGCTTCCGGCTCCACTCAGAGATACTTTCAAATCGCAAAGTGCTTTCGAGATGAAGATGGGCGAAAAGATCGGCAGGCAGAGTTCACGCAGCTGGATGTGGAGATGGCGTTCGTGAGCGGAGCTGCGGATGCTGAGTTGGAAGAGGATGGGTGGAGGATGGGAGGTGGGGAAGTGAAGAGAACGGTCGAGGAGTTTGTGAGGAGAATGTGGAATACAGCAAGGGAATGCGAAGGTGCTGCTCCGAGCGTCAAGCTTCATCCTTGTCCGCGGCGCTTCAGGGTGATGCGATGGCAAGAAGCTATGCGCCGCGTGAGTAGCCGGCGCCGAATCGAACGGATTTCATTTCGCTCTGCGCTGATGATTTTTACTTCGACAGTTTGGCTCAGACAAGCCCGATCTCAGGTATGGTCTAGAGGTGAGCAGGACCGCGATGTTGGCAATGCCTGCGATCGCTCTGACATCGTCATGCACCCACACACGCCATCTCCTCGTGCGGTCCATGTTTGCAGATTCACTCTCTGGTAGACGAGATTGGCCCGCGCGAACTGCAAGCCACGGAAGATTGGTCGAAGCCAGGATTGACAGTGGACATGTTGGTGTATAGACCATCTCAAGAGGCGCATTCGCTCAGTAATAAGGCGCTCGCCGACGTCGTGCAAAAGGAAAGCGGGGTGAGCGCAAGCGAGCTTACCAAAGCAACACGCCCCAACCTGACATTCGCTCACTTGTCGCTTGCAATTCCGGACTGCAACACAGATCGAGGCGTACAAGTGCAAAGCTTCGTCGCCCAACGAGGTTGCGTCGGTACTGTTGCGCAAGAGCGCCGCTCTGAGAGCTTACTTGCACGAAGCAGAAATCGACGCGCAAAATGTGGATCCGTCCATTCTTTGCGACGCTTTCGAACAGGCCTTGAGCAAGGGAGCTCTCCACAGCCAGACGTGCAACGCCGATGCGCAGAATGCGGAGTCTCGGCACAGTGACTTGTGCTACGTGTTCGTGGCGGGAAGAAAAGAGCCGCCAGAGGGAGGCGGTACTGCCATGGGTGATTTGCGCAAAAGGCTAGCCAGAGAGCTAGAGAACAAGGGTGAGTTCAACCTCCGTGATCGCTGGACAGCGCCCTGACTGAGCACGCGATACATCATTGTCGAAAAGGCGCGCTTGAGCTGTCTTCGAGTGAACCCGCTTTCTTGTGGGTGACGGAGTTTCCACTCCTCACCCCTTCGAGCGCCGAAGAAGACAAGGCGCATCTGACGAAAGGAAGAAGATGGACCAGTACGCATCACCCCTTCACCGCGCCCATGGCGCAAGATCTTGCGCTGCTCTTCGGTTCTGCCGCTCCTTTTTCGTCTTTAGTAGGGGCCCGAGAAGGAGATGCTGAGGCGAGGGGATTGGACAGGCAGGAGCAGCTCGCCAGAGTCAGAGGACAACATTATGATCTCGTCCTGAACGGCGCGGAAGTTGGAGGGGGAAGCGTCCGTATACATTCCAAAGAGGTGCAAGAGTGGTTGATGAGCGAGGTTCTTCAGGTGCGTGTGCTGCCGGCCCGGCCCAGCCCAGCCCGATCAGCGAAGCGAGAGCCTTTGCTCATCCCTCCCGATACGATCCACGTGCGCGCACATGCCCCCAGTTGACGACGGAAGAGATCGCCCGCTTCTCGGCTCTGCTCAACGCTCTGTCCGTAGGTGCTCCACCTCACGGAGGCTTTGCGCTAGGCGTAGATCGCTTCTTGAGCATCCTGATCGGTTCGCAGAGCATCAGAGACGTCATTGCTTTCCCAAAGACGGGAGGTGGAGGAAAAGGATTGCTGGATATGGTCTTTGAGAGCCCGGCCAGGTTGTCGGAGGAGGAAGATGAGGTGTTGAGCGCGTATGCGCTCAGGACGCTCGAGAAGGATCAATGAATGGATCGCCCCTCACCATTTCGTTTACCGAGCATGTCATGTGAAACGCACGCATGCAATCATCCACGCTCCCCCCCTCTGCCCACCCCAGTCGCGATCTGCTGACTGAAGGCAGACGCGGCTTACAGAATGTTGACAATCGGATGGTCCACAGCGCACGCACCACAATCCACACCGCAGAGCACAAACAGTCGAGCAACGAATTTGATTCGATTTTCTCGCTAACCCGTTCTGTATACATTGCATCGCCATGTTCATGGGTTCGCAAACTTTTCACTCTTGCGCAGCAGCAGCAGCGGGCCAACCCTTTTTTCTCTCTTCGTCCCACAAACCCTTGACGATCGTATCCTCCGGCAACTCTTTGCCTCCTCCTCCAGGTGCAAAAGCCCTTTTGAGATGCTGCACAAAGATGTCCGGTTCTGTGAGGATGATGGAGAGGGGGTGGGTGGGGTGGCGCATTGCGTGGACGCAAATGAGTCGGAGGGGGACGACAAAAGCAGAAAAGGGTGACTTGGAGGAAATGTGGGAAAAGGGGGGGGGAATCGAAAACTCACCCTCGATGGCTGCGAAGTGACCCCCTTTCAATGCTCGCGCATGCCAAATGATGTTTGCGTTCTTTTTGGCCCACACAAAAGGCGTGTTGACGATCTCCCAAGGATAATCCGAGTAGCCGCTGCGCAAACAAAGTCGCAGTCGTAAAGCACGCCGTGAGAAGTCATGAGTGTTTTGAAATCGCATCGCTGCTGCTCGAAGCCATCGCGGTGATTCCGCAGTGCATACTCACGTAGGCACCTCGAGGTAGTTCTTCGAGTCCCTGTGAATATCTGGCAAGTAGGGATTAGCAGCGTAAGGAATCATAGCTGTTCCCGAAGTCTTGGTGAACCAATAGAGGCAGAGCGTCTTCAGCAAGGCCTCGTCCGTCTTGCCACCGCTAGGAGCCGATTCGACCGATTCGGGATGAATGGGAGGGCAGAGCTTGGACAAGAATGGGTACGTCTCTAGCAGAGATATGCCGAAGAATGCGCCGATCCAGGAAGCTAGACCTGATGGAGAATCTAGCAGACCGTAGGAGAGCTGGGCGAATCGCTCGCATTGAACTTTGTAGTACCTGCGCCCCCGTGAAGCGATTTATTTCGCCTCGATCAGCTTCCAGAGCAAGGCTTGTGGTCCAAAGACGCGATACGACACTCACACCAGGTTGGCTTCGAAGTCTGTCGGACGGAAAGAAAGGCAATGGGTCATGATTTTCAGCGATGTTCCGAGCGATCAGAGAGCGGAAACAGTCACAAAAGTGCACCTAGAACGTATTGGTCGTGCTCGACCTTATCTACAGTGCAAGGGTAACCCGGGTCAATGGCCTGCAACTCACAATTCGCCTTTGCGATCATGCGACAATGCTCCTGGTCGTATAGCCAAGGCACGACGCGGGTCAGAATCCAATCCGGCAACTGCTGCGCCAGCTTGATGCCAGGCGAGGGCGAGACAGGCATGAAATTGAAGTGCACAGCTGCGAGTGCGGGTGCAAGCGAGGAGGAATGTGAGGCTCTGCTCCGTAGTTGGTGGATTTGCACATCTTCTCCAACCAACTAACACACACATCCAAGCACGTCTGACTCACCTCTGCAACCTGTACCGTCCTGCTTGTGAAATCGACTTCCCAACGCTCTGACATGCGCGCTGCCCCAATCACCTCCTTGCGCTGCATATCTGTCATACCCCAGTCCCCTCATCAGACTATCCAACAGCCTCGAGTAGCCCAAGTAATCTCCCGTTCCGCTCGTCGAGCTGGGGGGAGCCGAAGAGTAGGCAAAGCCGGGCAAGGAGGGAATGATTAGGTGAAAAGCTGGGTCGTTTGATGAGGAGGGAAAGGTGAGAGAGGGAATGAGGTGGATGAATTCGAGAAAAGACTGCCAGAGTGCAAGGATGATGCGAAAAAGGCATCAGCTGCGTTGTGCTGCGAGGATGCGGGCCGTGTCGCGCTGTCAGCCACTCACTCCTGGCCAGCCATGGATTAGCATCTGAGCGGAGGAGGAACGCAGGTCAGCCAGTCTTTGAGCGGGCGTGTCTCTTTCGCAATCTGCATCGAGACTGCACAACTCACCAGCGGAATGGCATCCTTTCTTTCCGATCGGACGTGTATGAAGTGCATCCGCTCGCACCAACCGATCGACGTGGTGAAGTGTGGATATCTGAGCGCATGTGGAAGGCGGACATGTCACATCAGCACCTGGCGTAGAGATGTCCCTCAAGATGGAACATGACTGGCTCTATGCGTCCCCTTGCACAAATCAGTAATGCCCTCGCTCACTTGTTGATCTCGCTCTCGAATTGCTTGACATCGAACTGCTTCCACCCCTTCAAAATCTCTTTGACGCGTTCCAACGAAGGTTTCAACCTCCAACTACGTCTATCCTCATCCTTCCAAAAGAAGTCTTGCTCTGGTAGACGAGCAGACGCGATTCGAGAGTGCAATCCTTCGATCGCTTCGCTTGTGAAGGTGGGTTGAAAGGCTTTGGGTGGGGAGATGGGAAGAGGCGAGAGATCGATGGGATCGGAAGAGATGGCTGGGAAGGCCATGATGAGACTGTTGCGTGAGTCGAGATGCTGATTGTCGCTTCGATCCTACGCAGCAGTAGCGATGGAGATGTCTTTGCTCGATCGAGTGAAGGACTCGTGATCGAAGCTGGATGGACAGCGGGACAGGCAGCTTGTATGCTGGTCAATCCTGAATGCATGCTTCGCTTTGCTCGCTCGCCCGCTACAGCTATTTGAACTCCAAGCAGCTCTGCATGCGTCCCACCCGCTTTCTTCCTATTCTCGATGCCACTTCTGCTGCGCGTGCTTGCTTGCTTGCTTGCTTCGTGTGGCTGTGTGGATGGTGGTGGTGGTGGTGGTGGTGCGCGCGCGCAAAGCATCGCGCGATGCACAGCTATTCGTGATTCCACAACACTCACAATCACAATCACAATCGCAATCGCAAATGGATGATCGCGAACGACGACCACGCATCATCGCAGGTCATGCGGTGATTGCCATCCCTCCCAGCTGCCATCTGCCCCCTTCCCTCGGCCAGCAGAGGTCGGGAACTTCGGCACAGCCGCTTCTGCTTCCTCGACACCGCCCAGCCCCACCACGCACTACGCACTACGCACTAATTGTTACCCCTTTGTGGTGGGTTCTGCAGCAGCGTCCCACCAGCCAATTGTTTGTTGTGCAAGTCACGTGTTTTGCATTTCGTCCTAAGCCAGACCACGCTTTCTCGCGTTGATTTTTGAATTTTGAATTTGCTACGAAAATCGACTCGACTCGTGGCGGTGCTGTCGCCCAATTGCGTCTTGTATCCGCGTGCTTCGAGCAGATTCGCGACTGGCGACTGTCTGACTCGTTCTTGCTTGGCTTTGTGCACTACACCATATACCCTCGCGCGGACCATGCACCTCTCTCTCTTCAGGTCGGTCGAAACACGATCAGTCGTGAGTCAGGATTCAAGACGGAAGGCATAGAGTCACGTGGATGCTACTGTGACTGCACCAAGGGAGGGCTATTAGTAGCGCCCTGCTCAGCATTCAATTCACTCATGATCAGAAGTTCGTTCTTGAACTGGCAGCAACACACCGTATGCCGCTCGGTCCATTCTTGATTTCTGTGCTCGTCCCTTTGGCCTTCTAGACTTCACCTCATCCGAATCGCAGTCGCAGTCGCAGTCGCGCAAGCTCAAACTCAAGCTCAAGCTCAAGCTCGCCAGCAAGCGAGCAAGCATAGCTTACCTTGATTAATTCGACTGTGCTCAAGCATGAGCAAACACGCATCCACCTCGGCCGCCGCCTCGTTCGATCATTCGTCCGTAGCGTCGAGCGCAACGGCCACGCAGCTCGTCGAAGCTCTGCAAAAGCACGCGAGCAAGACTGCCAAGCCATTGGTGCACGGATCAGCCTACAGCATCCCCCTACAACATAATCGCCCACACCCAGACTCGAACACGAAAGCATCCACGCCACGCACGTCAGAATGCATCTTGACGAGCTGGAAAGTGAGCGAATTTGCATATCGCAAGGTGGAAGTGGTCAGTTTGGAGGAGGATGCGGATATCCCTACGCTTGCTAGAGGTCTCTTTACTGCTGCTGCGGATATGGAATCGGAAGGGAAAGGCGAGACGAAAAGAGAGAGAATAGTGGCGAGAGGCTACGACAAATTCTTCAATGTCGATGAGATGCGATGGACAAAGGTGAGCCGCTGGCATTGTTGTCGTCTCATCAAAGGTCGCAGCAGCATCCACAGCTGCAAAGACAAATCCCGGTCAGAGCAGCAGCCGCGCTACTCGCCTGACACCTTCTTTCCTGCCTCGTCATTACTACACAGCGTCCCTCGCTAGAAGCGCACAGCACAGCACCCTATCTGCTCACGTTCAAGGAAAACGGCTGCATCATTCTCATCTCTGCGCTGACACCCGATCAGCTGGTAGTCTGCTCCAAGCATTCCGTAGGCGATCGAGATAATGTGGAATTGAGCCATGCCAAAGCTGGAGAAGCGTGGGTGGATAGGCATTTGGAAAGGGTGGGCAGAAAGAGGCAAGAGCTGGCGAAAGAGTTGTGGGATAGACGCTGCACTGCCGTGGCCGAGGTGAGTAGAGCTTCAGACTGACTGAGGATCCGCACCGAGCACGGTCGTCAGTGCACTAAACGAATACGAATGTTCCTGCCTCGCAGCTGTGCGACGACTCGTTCGAGGAGCACGTGTTGGCGTATGCTCCGTCGAGGACAGGGCTGCACCTGCACGGTCTCAACCACAACACTGTCCACTTCTCTACAGAACCCATGGACGTCGTTGCATCTTTTGCGCAAGCCTGGGGATTCATTCCTCCCCGATGGAAGACTTTTCACTCCTTGAAGACGCTGTTCGCCTTTACGGATCAGGTGTCAGAGACGGGTTCGTGGGAGGGAGAGGCTATAGAGGGATTCGTAGTGCGCACTAGCATGCCACTTGCGACGCACAGGAGTATCACCACCACCACCACCACCACCACCACTCCCCCCAGCGCGTTGCCGACGATCCTTTCCAAACCGCCGTACAATCCGGGTCAGGCTTGGTTCTTCAAGATCAAGTTTGAAGAGCCTTATTTGATGTATAGGGACTGGAGAGAGCTCACTAGAACGATGATCAGATCTCAGAAAAAGTGGGCGCAGGAGAACAAGTTCGACCTGGACGATGCGCTTAGTGGGAAGTGGAAGGACCTGCATGTTGAGGCTGCTGAAGATGCTTCTGAAATACTCGAAGAAGTTGGGCCTAAGCAGCAAGATGAGGTGGATGATGCTGAGCAGCCGCAAGATGTCGCGGGTGAGGAGGAGCTCGAAGAAGCAACGTCCACATCCGATGCGGAGCTGAGCAAGAAAGCGCGCAAAAAAGCAGCAAAGAAAGCGCGCAAGAAGGCGGAAAAGGCCGACCCTTCTCTGAAACAGAAACGGCGCATCAAACCTGGTCAAGCGATCCCGCATCCTTCCGCCTCTTGGGCCCACCTACCTCACCCACCGCCCGAGCGTCCGCAGAAAAGACAGAAAAGGAGAGAGACGATGCTGTATATGGACTGGGTGTGGGAGAAATTGTACGGAAAGGAAGATGGGAGCGCCTTGCCGGATCGAGGGGTTTTTGAGGGGTACGCCGAGAATAGGGGCATCGTCGCTTCGAGGGAGGCATTTTTGCGATATTTGAACAGCGAAGAGGGAAAGAAGAGGTTGGGCGAACTGGATCCTGGTAGTGAGAGGAAGACTTTAGAGAGGGGAAAGAGGTCGATGGATGAAAGACCTTTTACGCATACGGTCGTGGTGCCTGTTGCGGTGCCTGGGTGCGGCAAGACGATCCTGAGCATAGCGCTCGCAGACTTGCTCTCACAAACCGTCGCCGACTCGCAAACGGACGACATGTCGAGCTCCACGAAGGGCGCTGCGCTCGACACTCCTCTGCGCGTCTCTCACGTCCAGGCGGACAACATGACGACCAAGAAGACGGGCCCAGCTTTTTTGCAAGCTGTCACTGTAGAGTTGAATGAGGGAAAGAATGTCGTCATTGCGGACAGGAACAATCATCTGTTGAAGCATCGGCGAGAATTGGTGGACGAGGTGCGAAAATGGGAGGAGAAAGTGCACAAGACGAGCTTGGACAAAGCTCGGGGACAAGCTCAAAAGCAGAAGAAAAGGGGATCTGCAGCTCCACTGGCTGCAAAGAATGATGTGCTCAGAGATGAGATCGCGGCACCGCGCGTCAGACTTGTGGCGCTTCCGTGGGACTTGGATGATCTAGCCCTCAATGCGGTGCATAGACTCTGCTCGGACAGGATCACGCAAAGAGGAGATAATCATCAGAGTTTGAGAGCGGACCCTCAAGGCGCGTCGGGAAGCAGCGATCATGAAGGTGTGCTCTGGAGATTCTTGGATGACTGGCAGAGCTTTCAAGCAGGGCCTTTGGACGATACTGTGGCAGACGAGGCGGATTTAGCTTTTGATGAGAGCATTCGTATGGGCGTGGATGCTGAGGAAGAAGGGAACTTGAAACAGGCTTTCGAGGCGATCTCTCAGATACTGGAAGTGAGGTTTGGGGATGCGCAGCTTGGACCTGAAGGCAAGAGCAGGCGGATTCACGATGCGTTGAAGAGGGCGAAAGAGTACAAGGTGGACGTGCTCAAGCCTGCCAGGGCCATACATTCCCAAGTAGCTCGAAGCCAAGCGCCAAGCAAAGCTCCCCGATACTACGGTATATCCGTCGAGCTCAACTCTTTCACGGCACTCAAGCAAAGATTGGCGCGGCACGCTAGCACCTCCGCCTTGCATGCCGAAGCGCTCGACATGCTGGAAAAATTGCATAGGGACAATAGGATCGTAAAGACGCCTCATATCACCCTCGTGCACTCTTCCGACCTGCACAAGAACCAAGGAGCAGAGGAAAGCGCCAAGTCTGAAGCTGCGCGGAGAAAATGGAAGAGGTACGAAGAGCTGTGCAGCGGCGGCGGCAGCGGCGGCGGCACTGGCTCTAGCGCCGGCGTTGCAGCGGACGCGCCGGACTCGCAGAGGATACGGAAATCGCCGCCGCCGCCTGATTTCGATATCGTGCTCGATCGATTGGCTTGGCAGAGCGGAAGAGCGATGGCTTTTGGAGTGTGCAAGGCGGGAAAAGGGAGACTTTTCAGTGCGGACATGCCGGATTTTGAAGAGGTGCAATGCGGCTTGCGCATAGCTTCGTCTGTCATGATGCCGGAAGAAAGGCGAGGGGACAAAGAAGAAGATGGGGCGGGGAGGGCAAGCAGCAAGTCGACGACGACGACGACGATCATGCAGGACTGGACACCGCATGTGACTGTCGGAACGGCCAACGAGAGCATCAGACCTTTCGAAGCGCATGCGGTGCTGAGAGAGGCGGATGAGAATGAAAAGAAGAAGGAGCGGAGAAGGGAGGAGAGGTGCAAAGTTTTGTATTTGGGAGGAGAAGAGAGCATCAGGATCAGAGGCAGATTGCAAGGAATGAATAGGTGAATGCCATCCATGGTGGCCGTCGTCTTTTGCATCCCCATGCTTGGCGGTCGAGGGTGGTGGTCCCTTCATGCGCCGTTTCACCTACCCTTTTGCCAGCGCGAGCTGTGTACGAATCTTGTGGCGGTGCAATGCAAATCCCCCCTTTCCCGTCTTTCTTGGGTTCCTTCAGTGGCCCATTTCGCCTTGTTCCGAGCGTCTCGAGAGTGCGTGTGTATCGCGCGCCTGCTTCGTTGTGCATCTCTGGTGACTTGATTTCATTTGACTTGATGTGACTTGACTGATTGTGGGTGGGCGAACATTCGGTGAAGAGAGGGGGGGAAACTGTGCGAGTTGTGGTGCATGGGTTGGAGGGTGAGCAAGTTTGTCGAATTGAAATTTGGGGCAAAGAAGAGGGGAACTTTTGACGGGCAACTTTTGAAGGGGCCTTTGTGGGATCTGAGGCGTCGGTCTAGTAGTGTTCTTTGGGGGGGGAAGGTGTAACGAAGGTGCGTGTAGCCAATCGTGATAGAGAGATTTGTCTAGCGTTGCTCGACAGTGGACGGCTTGCGGATTCGCTACATCGAACAGGACTCGATTAGCCTTGCTTTTGCCCCTTTGCCCGCTACTCCCAACACCCTCACGACGAGATGGCGATGCTTCTAGGCTTGCTAGTCTCCTCCTTGTCCTTCTTGGCAATCTCCAACTTGAGCAATCCATTTTCATACTTTGCGCTGACAGCGTTCAGATTAGCTGTAGGTGGCAAGGCGAAGGAACGGGAAAAGGATCCATAATGACGTTCTAGCAGTAGAGGGTGAGCGACTTTGCCTTCCGCTTTATCTTGTCGAGCTTTGACGTCGCTGGAGGGTGCGCCCGAAGAGTACTCGTTCTTGAAAGCGCCTTGAAGAGTTACGCGTCGCTTCTTGTCGTCCACTTCTAGCGAAATGTCTTCCTTTGCCACTCCAGGAACTTCGGCCGTGACGGTGAACTGTAGCCCGATGAAGATGAAACGGACGAGCGCAAGAGGGAGGGAGGGGGGGCGGAGGGGGGCGGGGCAGTGTTGATGAACGATTTTCGCTGTCGGCCACGGGCCTGTTTGCCCCTTGCATCGATGCACGCACCTTGTCGTGATGCTCGTGAATGTCGAGCCTAGGACCTCCCCAAATCTCGGAAGGCGTCCAATTCTTGCGTGGAGGTCTAGCAGCAGCAGCTACCTTGTTACCTCCTTCGCCTGCTCCACTGCCATCGTTGGCTCCATCGATGTAGATCGCGTAGGGAGTGGTCAGATCATCGATGAGGTTGGAGAAGGGTGAGTAGCTGTGTGCGGGGGGATGGAGGTCGTGTCAGCTTGTGAGTCGTGCGTGTACGATTTTCAAGGAGTGCGTCGACTTACAATCCGAGACTCATTGTCGATGCGAGTAATCGAGGAAAGATGAAGAAGCTTGGCTTTGCGAATGTCTTGATGGCAGCTTTTTGCGTGAGATGGCTTGATGCTTGTTCGCGGGTGGTGGTGAGTGCTGGTTTGAACAGGTCCTTTGGGAAGTCCAGTGTACGACGGTATAAATACTTTTTTCATCATCTCACCGTCAGACCTCGCTCGCCGACTCGATCAGCGTCATCCTTCTCTCGACATTCGACATCCATACACACGACGCCTTCGCTCTATTCCTAGAAGGTACCAGAATCTTCAAGGCCGTGCGCGACGGGCTCGCGAGGCGACCAGACGCGTCTTTGCGAACAGCTTGCTGCTCAGCCTGGCGGACCGAGGTAAGGACGCCTGACCCGATAATGGAATGTGATTGTGCTCTACCAGCTCACATACGAATAGCCCAATGTCCACTGATAATAGAAGAAATCAAGAATGGACTCACTGTCTGCGCTTCGAAAGAGCCAATCTTGAATGCGCTTCGCATCCATCCTGAATCTTCCATATCCCCCTGTCGAATCAAAATTTACGAATTGAATGTAACTCAAACTCGATCTTGACTCGGAGGTCTCAATCACGGATGTGAGGACTCGATCAGATTCAACGCTCATGCAGCAGTCACGGGTGACCCTGCAGCCGCTTGACAATCTGTGATGTAGAGCAAGACGCTGCTGTACCCTACAAAATGATCATGGTCACGGTGCCCATGCAACGTTGCTCTTCAGCGGCCATTTCTGGATGTTTCCACGCCCGTCCTGAAGGCCCCCCGCCCCCGCCTCCCGCCCCCGCCCCCGCATTCTCGCTCATCCGCCCGCGATGCGGTGCGCGTCCTCTGTCTGGGACCACGCCCTCAAAGAAAGACTTGCGGCGTTGCTGTCTTGACTTTCTTCAGAGGGACGTGCCTGAGTGAGCATGGTCACACCCACACCCATATTTCGAGCATCATCGTGTCTGCATGCGTGAGATGCGTGTCAAGCTTGAGTGAGTCACTGCATGTGAACGAATCACAGGTCGCTGCGAGTCAAGAATCGCGAATCGCATTCTATTCAAGATTGAGTGATTCACGATTCACGATTCACGATTTCCACAGGTGCAATCACGAATCAACCTCCGCGCATCGCCTTACATTTTTTGGACGAACACGCGAGTCACGTGATATACCTCCATGCTCAAAATTTTGGATCCTGCTGCAAAAGCATCAGCAACAGCAGCCCTCCTCTTGGGAAGATGCGCATGCATGGCACCGGCTGATGTGCGAACAGCAGGCTGAGTATGGTGCCCATCATCATCGTCATCGTCGTCATCGTCGTCATCGTCGTCATCATCATCGTCATCATTCGCACTGACCTTCTGCATCTTCACGACAGCAGCGCAGCTTGAATTCGTCCACCTGCCCATCAGCCGCTCAGCGCTTGACCCGCTTCCTGCTTAGCGACGCCAACACACGGCGCACCTTTCGCCTGACACTCACAAGATGGGGTCCAAATTCCGCGGACCTTCTTCGCAAAAGTTTCAGCTGGTTCATCGATCGCAGAGGGATCCGCTGATCAATGACGAAGAAGCGGGCACGCACGTCTGGTCCTCCATCTCCAGCAGCAAAGGTCCCCGTTCGGGCAAGACGCGAGCCGACTTGGAACTCGAGCTGGACGAGAAGTCCAAGCGTTTGCGAGGCAATGTGGGCGAAGCGGCAAAGTATGGAGTGTATTTTGATGATACAGAGTACGATTACATGCAGCATTTGAGAAGTATTGGTGGTGACTATAACGCAAAGAGAGGTGGAAAAGATGAAGAGGAAGATGTGGATGTGGTGCTCTTGCCTGCTCCAAAGTCCAAACAGCAGCAACAACAAAGCGCAGCTGCAAACGCTACAAATGCAAAGGCAAAAGGCAAAGCGATCGGAATGGGCATCGAATTGAGGGAAGATGTGGAAGCGAGACGAAGAGAAGAGGAAGATGATGGCAGGTTGAAACTATCCAAGGATATGCTGCCCCCTGAACATTTGCCGAATAGGGATTGGTCAGCTGGATTCAACGTCGCGCAGGATCTCAAGGGTCTGCAGCCCGACATGGATCCTCACCTACGACAAGTCCTCGAAGCGCTCGACGATGATGCTTTCCTCTTGCGCACTGCCGGTCGCAAATCGATTGCGGATGCTACGGAGCTTGGCACTCCCGGCACGTCTGTACACCAGGACCGTAGCTTTGAAGACGAGCAGGGAGAGGAGGAAGATTTGGATGAATTCTTCGCAGACATCATCGAGGGCGGAGAGCTGAGCTCGAAGGACGAAGTGCCGGAATGGAGAGCTTTGCCGCCGGAGGGTGATGAGGCGATTCGTGAGGATCCAGCAGCTAGAGCCGCGAGAGAATTGTTGGATCTGAAAGCGACAGGTCAAGGGCCCGATGCGCTCTCCCTCGAGAGTCGCGTAGCGCTCTTCAAAGCTGCTCAGAAGAGTGCTTCGGAGGACAGAGGCCAGAACAGACACCTCGCTGGCTTGAGACCTGGAGGAGTAGGTCCAGATACGATCGGCTCGGACGAAGAAGAAGAAAGGAGCAGCGTGATTGCGCCTAGTCAGTCCTCGACGCTTGTGCGGGCCAACAAGGCTCGAAGAGCTCCCTCCAGCGTTGGCTCGCAGAGCATCTTTGGTGAAAAGGGTGCGAGCAGGAAATCTAGAAATCCCGGAGCTAAAGCTAGGCTGGCAGCGAGCTACTACGCTCCTAGCGCGATGGGCGGTGCTACGGCCTTCAGTATGAGCTCGAGCGCAATGGAGAGGAATCAGGGATTGACGGACCTCGATATGCAATTCGACAAGGTGAGCTGAAATGCGCTGACGCACGGCAATGTGCCAACTGAGCTGATTCGGAGGGAGCGCATCCACAGCTGGAAGCTCTGTACGAGCAAAATTCGGACGATGAGGAAGAAGACGAAGACGATGATGACGAACAGCGATCCGCAACAGACGTCGACTCTTCGGTGCCCAAAGATCTCTCTCGAGAAGATTTCGACCAAGTCATCGACGAATTCTTGTCGACTCAGGAAGTGTATGGAGGCAAGTTGAAGGAGAGATTGGGCGGATTGGATCTGGGTCCGGTGGAGAAGTTGGGATTGTTCAGAAAGGAATTGGGTAGACCTCTGATTAGTCGGAGGGAGGAGTTGGAGGGAGAAGAGAGCGAAAGCGAGTCGGAGGATGAACCGCCCATGCCTAGGAGTGCGGCGGACGATAGGGACAAATGGGACGTGGAGACTGTATTGTGTGAGTGGTGTGGGGAACGCATGGTGCTGAGGCATGCTTCTTCGTTGCCTTTGTCGTGCTGAACTCAAAGGTTGCCTCTTTGGCCAATCAATCGCCTTCGAACAGCTACGCGTACCAACTTGGAAAATCATCCCCGCCTGATCAACGCAGCGACCAGCGTAGCTGGCTCATCCTTCAGCCATCGCCCGCAAACTATAGCTTCGTCCGGCATCGGCAGCCGCCCTTCTCGTCTGTCCGGCTCATCAGCTGCGGACGCTTCGGTGGACCGCATTCCCAAGATAAAGATCGACCCTCGGACCGGCATGCCTAGCATTTCTAGGTACATCACTGTAGGAGCCAGAGAAGCTAGACGGAAAAAGAAGCACGAGGCAGAAGAGAATCTCGTGCAGGGTTCGACTTCTTCTGTTTCTCCTCCTTCTTCTTCGGGAGTTGCAGCGAGAAGCAACCAGAGCATGACGATGGACAGAAGGGGGAATGCAACAACCTGTCTACCTGAAGGCTCATGGGCTAGCGTGGACGAGGAGGAGGAGGAGGAGGAGGAGCAGAAAGAAGGATACGAGAGCGATGCGACAGAGACGGGCGCGAGAGTCACCATTACGCGGGACAGGAACGAGTCTGCGGAGGAGAAGAAGGCGCGAAAAGCAGCTGCGAAAGAGTTCAAACAGGTGGGTTGGGGTCCCCATTGCCTTCTTTCTTGATCCTTTGTAGACTCTAGGGCGCTGGCCTGACGCCGCAGCGGAGGACACATCTACCACTCTCTTTTCGGGGCGCTTCGAATCGCATCGGGCTCTTCTCAAACTGACATGCCCCCCCCCCCCCTTCTCAACCCCTCTTCTTTGCTTTCTTTCCGGCCCCCCCTCCCCTCGACAGAATCGAAAGGCGGAAAAGGCCAATCGCAAAGCGGCCTATGTGTCGGAACGCAAGGCTCAGAGCAAGAGTGCCAATGGACGCATCGACGGGGGAGGTGCTGCGGATGTGGGACGCAACGGTGTGGGAAGCGCGGGCAGCGTGGTCAGACTGGCTTGATCTTGCTTCGTCGTCGCAATCCGCAATTCGCAAAGCAAAAAGCATTCCCAATCGAGCTGCCCCTCCAACTCTTTTTTTCCAACACACACCCTCTTCATCGTTCCTCCTCTACTTTTCTTCCGAGCCCCTTTTTCCAATAGCACGACTCTAATGCATGACACATGCATACGAGAAGAGCGTACACACGTTGATATTCATTGCGATTTCGTAGAGCATCCCTCCGCGCCTGCAAAGGCGGCGAGGTCGGACATCGTGCTGTGCACATTTCCCGCGCCGAGCTACGTGGGTGGGGAGGAAGGGGATAGATGCGCATGTAGCGTGCGTGCGTCGTTTGCAAAACAGGGGGAGGGAGGGGGGGGCGGAAACAAAGCCAAAGCTGATTGGACGTTGTGAACAGAAATTCGGAATGGTGCTGCGTATGTATGCGATGCGATGCGAAGAATGATGAGACAGACTTGCGGGAGAAGGCCAAAGCGATTTTTCGCTGTGAAAAAAGTTGGACCGCCGAGGAGGGCGTGATATAAGGGGCAGACAGATTGCCCCTTTCCCTGCACCAAGTCACGAGCGAGTCGAGTCTCTAGGGGCAAAGATCCGAACTGAAGCTGGGAACGTCGATCGTGCGTTGGCGAATTGCGACCTCTTACATGGAGAATGCTCAGCGAGCACCCTACCCTTTCGCCAAAGGCTCATCGACGTGCATTCGGAGGTTGCGGGCCCAAAACTCGTTTAGGACCGCGCTGCGAGATTGTGAGAGGGGGGGCAAACGTGAAAGAGGTTCAGCGGGGAGCTGCTGCTGCGGCTGCTGCAGGCAAGATCGCAAACGAGACTCACGGCAAAAGTGACGATAAAGGCAAAGAGGATCATCAAGGAGAAGCTGGCCCAAGCGGTGGCCCAGGTCACCGCATCGTTGCTAGCCACCTGCACCCTCTGCTTGACCATAGCAGGCCTGTACCTAGCCTTGAGGTCGACGGGATAAAAGTCCGTGCCCCTCTTTGGAGGTTTGGCCTTCCTTCGAGGATCCAGATCGAGCATTTCAAACTGCTCGTCCGATGAATTGGAATCCGCTTCCTTCTCCTTGCCTCCTCCTCCACCACCACCACCAAGGTCCCTACGACGAGGACGCGTAGGTGAGAAGCTGGCATCGTCGCAATGCAGCAGCTTGCCTTTGCCCTTTATGGAGGCCGGCGAAGAAGAAGCGGGCGATTCTCTAGCGGAGCTCGCAGCGGAGGCATAAGCTCGACTGGCCCTTCGGTGCCTGGCAGGCGAAAGAGCAAATGCGCGCTTCGTCGCTTCGACTTCCAGAGATCGTTCTTCAGCTTCTGTCGCATCTGCATGGTCCAGGCCAAGCGAGATGGCTTTCGAAGCCGAAATTTGCCCAGCCTGGACCCTAGCTTTCAGACCTTCAACCCGACGTTGCCTCAGCAACGCTGTGAGCTCTTCTCGCTCCTGGACCTGGTCGGCGCTCTCAATCTCAAAGAGACTGCCGTGTGAGCCCGATGGGTGCATGGGCGAAGAAGCCAGAATAGCGCTATTCCGCTTGCTTGAACCAGCCGACTGCCTACCGGACTTGGAGGAAGAGGACGATACCCAGCCAAGCAGGCTTCGTCTGGTCTTCTTAGCAGCGGCCAGGAGTCCTAGCCTTCTAGCCTCGCGCTCAGTGATCGCTTGACCGAAATCGTCATCGTCTGCCCAATGGACCGGCCTCTGCTTGGTGGCTCTCTCCAGAAGATCGTACGACTCGACATTCGTCATGACTTGATCGCGGAGCGCGCCTCGAGGGATGAGATCATCGTCCCCAGGGGCCGGCCACTCTCCATCTCCTGCAGACGATAATTGTCTGAACAATTCGGCATCGAGCTCGGTGGCCGCGAAGGGGTCCACAGCTCCGAAGCCATCGTAGTCAAGGTCCGCTTTTGATTGCTTGGCAGTCGCTCCTTCGATAGCCCGTGGCACGGACGGTCCAGGCACCACTGTTGCCGCGCTATTGACCGACCATCGCAGATCAGCGATGTCGGAAGCAGCTTCCGAGGCAGCCATAGCTCCTCGCAAACTTCCGACACTCGCCGTCGGTCGCAGATGAGCGTAGCGTTCAGCAGGCGACAGGCGCTTGGGAAGTGAGTTGCCAAGGTCGGAAAGCTGCATGTCCCCATCCTGACCACCTTCACCTCTGCGCTCAGGCGTGCGAATGGCGACTTCCCAAGCTTGAGAGGGTGTCAAGGTCGAACGATCATCACTTAGACTGAAGTCCCCTCTCTCGTCCGCGTCACCCAGCACACTGCCAAGCTCGCTTTCAAGCGAGTGCCCAAACAATCGAGATTCCGGTCTCGCTTCGCCAAACTCTGATGCGCTCGATGGAAAGGTCCTCTTCGCGCCCTCGTACATCGACTCCGTCTGGCTGGCTCCGCTTTCCGAGCGAGGTAGGCCGCGCACATTCTCTCCGCGCCTTTGAGTGGGCGATTCGACAGGCGATACGTCGGATTCGGCCATGCTAGCGACCGAAGAGACGCTTCGAAGGGCGCGTTTAGAAGTAGGAAAAGGTCTCGATACCGGGAACTGCAGCGTGGGAGCTAGCGAAGGTCGTCCGGCCTGTAGCCTCTCCTCGGCACGTTCAGCGTCCTCCTTTCTCCTAGCAGCAAGATCTTCCATGCTAGGTGTGACGAAGATCTTTGGCTTCATTAGACCATGCACAGTCAGCCTGGCTCGTCTGTTGGTGCGCGGACTAGACGCTGCGCTACTTGATGCCGAAGTGCAGGTGGAAAGCGAGGAGGCGGTGCCCGAACGTGGGAGGCGAAGCTCGTAGGTGCCGTCGCTAGCATCGAGATTGATACGATTGAGCACCGCTTCCTTCTTGAGCGCTGCTCTGATGGTGCGTCGACCCTCTATGATGTGTCTGTTTCCCGCGGCTCTTCGACTCAGGCTCGCTGGATTGAGGCCGCTCAAAGATCTAGGCATATCTCGGCCAGGCGAGACAGTGCTCGAAAAGCTGTCGTCACCGCCAAAGCTAGAGCCAGCTTCGACGGCTTCGTACGCATCTCTTATGCGCTCGCCCTCCTGCAAGGCTTTGCCCAATCTACCATCCATGTCGGTCCCCGCCTCTGCCAAGGCTGCGTTCGTCTCTTCAAGTTCTTTGATCTTGGAAAGCAACTGAGCTACAAGCGCTCGTTCGCCAGGACTCTGGCTCGGCAGGTTCCCCAGTTCGCCTGCAAGCGAGCTCGCCACCGACGAGGACCTTGAATGACCTGGCGTCTCAGGTCCATCAGATCGTGAGCCGGAGGTATCGGCCGCAGACTGCAAGGTCGTTACCTGAGATCCCGGAGAGATGGATGACGAGGCGCGGCTGCCTAGCATCGCGGCAAGATCTCCACGAGAACGTCTTTTGGCGCCTTTGCGAGTCGTGTCTGGTGTTCTGTCATTGCTTCGCGATTCTGTACTGCCTTCCAGCTCTACATTGCGCTTCGTAGCCGAATCCAGTTCCGCTCTGAGCCCATCAATCTCCTTGTTCAGCTTCCTCAATCTCTTCCCGCCAGCGCGTTTGGCCTCTTCAGCCTCCTTTTGTAGGTCCGCCAGTTGCGTCAACAGCTGATCATTTTGATTGTTCAAGAGGTCGAGCTGACGTTGTGCGTCGGCGTGAGCCAAGGCTGCTTGAGCAGCTGACGCAGATGCACTGGAGGGCGTGTGACGCCGATGACCACGCGACCGGGACTCGGCTGGGGATGGTGGCGCGGAGGGAATTTGGCCGCGAGTGTCGGGAATCCAATGCGAGGTAGTGGCGCGAAGCGCAGCGGCTGAAGGGCTTCGGTCGAGATGAGGCGAAGTCGCAGGTGGGTGGACGCTGGGTGAACGAAGCTCCGAAGGCGGTCCGGACATGCGGGGAAAGTACTCTGCTGATGGCGTAGGCATGGGCGTGGCGTCCTCGTCGATCGAAACGTCGGTGGTGGGAGGCGAGTTCATGGGTCGATCATCGTCGGCGGACTCTTGGGCCAACGCGAAGAGGTCAACGTTGCTCGAGAGCCGCGTGGATAGGCCCTCGTGCTTGCCGCGCAGACTGATGTTCTTTTCCAACAACGCTTTGCCTATCGCCGCGGCAACGCCTAGATCTCTCTCACGCTCCTTGATCACTTGGTTCGCTTGCATCAAGAGCATTTCCAATTCTTCGCGCGGTAGTCCGCCAACCCAATCAGAGTCCATATCAGGCTCGCTATCGTCGTCGCTCTGTTCCTGGCCGCTAGAAGGCGCTCCATCGCCCTTCCAACGATCTCCCGTTGCACCGATCTTGACATTGGCGCCTGTTTCGTCGTCTGTGCCGCCATCAAGCACGGGAGATGCGAATTGTGGCAGAAACGGCACAGCAGGCGCCTTTTGGTCTCTATCTCCCAGCAGAGCCTTTGAGAGCTTCGCCCCAAGCTTGCGTCCAAGACTTCCGTTCCTCTTCAAGTCGACTTCTGGCTTGCCAAAGATTGCGTCGCCTTCAGGATCCGATACCGGTGCCCTTGCTGCTTCGCGCGACCGAGCGCCTGTTGCGCCGCTGGAAGGAGGCTTGCCAAGCGACCACTGAGTAGCATTGCTGGACCTTCGCAACGCGGCCGTCAAGTCGGCCGGCAAGTCCAGGTCTAGATCCCGCTGAATGCGCGCACTCGTCGCGTCGCTCTTGTCCGAATGCGCACCGCTGTGCTTCGGAACGTGCAAGAGGTTTTCTGGTCCAACATCAGCAGTGCTTGTCAATGCTTGTGTCGACGAGCCGCTGCCGCCGTTCTGGCCACTAGGCCGACGCCCACCTGGTGGCCTCGGTCGTGGAGTGATGGTCTCTGATAGCATTGCGACAAGTAGTCTTTGACCGAGCAGGCCGTTGTCGCCGTAGCTTGGCTTTCGGATAGAAGAGGTTCAATAAGGAATCGATCAGGCACAGGTGCTCATCTCGTGCACGCGCTGTAGCCGCTGAACTTCAGTAGTGATGGTGGAGGCTGAGGAATCCAAAATGACAAGTGGACTGGTGGTAGGTGGATTGGTCCGCGCTATGACAAGGGGCCGGGGCAAATGAAGCGCGAGC